TCTGGAAACGATTTTCTCAGTGGGGGAGTTAAAAGAATTTAGTTCAATGTATTATGATATTGGATTTCAATCGATAATGCGTTATATGACGCACAGATGCTTGAAATATTTTTCAAAGTTTCAACTTATATATTTAACGTTCACAATATTTGGATCGATATTGTTTCTAAGCAAACACTAAGTGGTTTAGACGGCAATTAGGCAAAGTAAACAGAAATTTAAATTTAAATGAAGTCTATATGAAAGGAACGACTTTGAAAATCAAGGGATTTAGTTCTCTTTAATCCATCAAAGATATGTTCGAGGAGAGAAAAATCTTAGAGGGAGGTTAATAATGATTAGGAAATGGTTCGTTAACTGCTAATCATGTGGCACGCTTGTTCAGTTATATTGTAGATTCGTCAATCAAATCTAACAGCGTACAAAATAAGTAATGTTCTAGAAATCTTCAGTTAGATTAGAACTCTATAATAAGTTCTAATCAATTTGAAGTTCTATTGTGCACATGGCTATAGCCGGTTGTGATCTCATGGTCCGGCCAAATATCAGAAAACTTTAAACATAACGTTAATCTACGAGTTTGAACTATAAACGGGAGAACAGAATCTAATTATTCTCATTTTTCCACCATTCCTCAAGTCCTAACTGCTTAAAAAAAATTAAAACATTTTGATTATTGTATATTGAAAATTCTCATTTTGGTGCCAAATAAACTGCAGATGGCTTAGAATTGCAATTTTTACCGTTTGACGTCAAACTCAACCTTTTCATTGCGAATTTCATTTGTTTCAGAAAATCGATAGAATTGGTCATAATTAATCTTGATTAGTCTAAATTTCTCAAGTTTACTATTTGCAAACCTTTCCGGTAATGAACTGTTATTCTTCCTGAACAAACAACCATCGACATTTAGATTTTTCTTCTGTCCAAAGACAAAGTTTTTCCGTCGTAAATACCACTGCAAATATTACTTGATGACGTAATTCAGTGAAAACTTACCAAGCCAGACAAGGAGCAGAGAATGAGTCCAACCACAGAGCCACTGTATCATATCTGATCAGAAGTTCTTCCACCAAAATGTACAATAGGGACATAGGTTTCGTGCCACGTAATGAGAATGTTAAGATCGTAGATATGTACAATGTTACTTTTACGACCAAGTTACCGCCGTCCCACTATTCTGTCGGCGAATTATCCATCAAACCAATAAGTTGAAGAATATTTCCGGCTTCAACTAGTCTTAAGTAGAGCAGGATCCTAAAAACATGTGTTCAACTCTTCTGCAATATTATTTCCATTCTTGCGACTTTGTTTCACGTAGTTTCATTTTAAGAAATGTCATTTACGTGCGCACACTAATTCTTCCTTCAAAACGATTCAAGTTTGGATGAAAATATTGTTCTTCCCTTGCTTTCTTTGTCTTTCTTTTTCTTTGTCAGAACCGCTTCGTACAATATCACCGCGGCTAAATTTGATCAAGCAAAGGTTGTAACTCTTGACATTTATTTAAAAAATTTCGAACCAAACGCGATTTATATTAGAAATAGGGTGAATAATTTGGGACAATAACTAGTGATTAGTTCTCGTAATATAGACAATATGGCTCAAAATGTTTTTTTTTTTCGTTTATTTTTAACACCAAGTCTTTTACGGATCATCTGTCATCACATTTTCTACGTCACTTCCTTAAAGTATTATCAGAAAAAATGCCGTTATTTTTCAACATGTTGTGATCAGGGGCATTTTATGCCGCCAAGCTGTAACGAAGAGATTATGTTAAAACTACTCCATTTACTTCTTTAACTTGCTGACCGATTACAAGATGAAAAACTGTTAGACTAGGACTTGCAAATGCATATATATGTAGGCCCCAAACATACGCACATGCACAATAATAAATACTACTGATTATTATCCAACTATGCCTCTTAGAGTACAAATAACGCGCGAGACGAGTACAAATATACCGCGATATTTGTACTCCAGCAGAATTATCCGCGAAATTCGCCCGCACTGAAATAACAATTTGGCGTTTTGGATAATAAATCTCTTATTTGACGTTTTGTTGTGCAGTATTGCTGAGTATTTTTACCCGTTGTTTGTATTTTGTCTCGCCCTACGGCCTCGTCAAAATATGGCACAACTCGTAAAAATACTCAGCAATACTACACAACAAAACGTCTAATTAACAATTATTCCACGCGCGCGTTGGATATGAGATGATAGATAGCCAACGAGGCGCATAGCGCCGAGTTGGCTATAATCATCTCATATCCAACAAGCGAGAGTGGAATAATTGTTTTATTAAAAAAACGCCCCCAAGATATTAGACGAATCTTCTCGACTTTATTTTGTGATAAGAAACCGGATTTAACAATGTACAGAAATTAGATTATGGTATATTGGCTCATATACCATAATGGCTGAGCCAATAAAAAGTCTTGAATTGCATTATCCAATGATCCAGTTTTTAATAATAAGATATACACCGAATGCAAATATGGCGTCCAATTTGAATTGCCATTGTTCTGGACTGGCTAGCCTCGTCTTCACGTGGAAACAGTCAGTCCAGCACAATGGCAATGCAAATTGGACGCCATATTTGCATTCGGTTTATACATGGTCAGAAATCGAGGCAGCCAGCGGTTTGGACCGTAGGCTCATTTTGGGGTTTTTTTTTGAATAGCTAATGAGGGACTCTAATGAGGATGAATGAGGACTGTCATGTTCACAAAAATGGCAGCAATTTTTTTAAATAAAATGATTGATTTATATTGTCATATTTAATATCTCTCTGTTTGATGTCCCTGTTTAATGGGTAATGTTGGCATTTGAAGGCACAAAATAACTACATTTTACACCACGTTATATGACTGCAGGACAAATTTAATTGTCTCAATTTATTTGTTACATTTAGAACATATTTAAACCCCAAGCCTAGCCAGGAGTCAATTAGTTCAGCTGTAGATACCTTGCATGCTGCAGTTTTAGAAAACCTATCATCAAAAAGTGTGTTGGCAACCCTAATTGCCTTCAGACATGATGTTTTCCACTATCTTTTCAAGTGGAAGGGTAAAAAAAGCCAAGACGTGGGAAATTTATCGTTGGTAAAATAGGGTTTTACCAGATGTTTATTTCCAAATGACTGGGACAAACTTCTGGATAGCTTAGGGGATGGAGTAAAAGTAGCTTTTCCAATATAAGCACGTCTATTTATTTTGGAAGCCCAAAAAACCATACTGTGAGTAAGGAAAAAGCAATAATATCTTCACCCAGATGTCATATAGGGAAGTTAACCACTGATGATAAATTGTAGAAAAGAGCCATTCAGTATGTCTGCAAATTAGTCTACTTCCAAAATGTGATTTCATTAATTGTAAGAGATTCACCAAAACAACACTACAGTACTTATGGAACATTCCTGAAAAAGTTAACAGTGATAGTGTATGTATTCCCAGTTTATTTCTGTATTCATATTGATTGCAATTTTCTACAAATATATAAAACTGGCATGTACTTAGAAAATATTGTACATTGAAACAGAATTATTACACTTTAGTAAACAATTTCTCAATTTACTGCTACAGCATATCTTAAATATCTTATCTCATGAAATTTTTGAATTATAATATATTTTTGATCAGATTTGTGCCTCTTATTTCTCCTAGTCTTCCCTAGCTCCTCTTCCCAGTAACTTGCATTTTTTTTGTCGAGTATGGTCTTTTGGACCTTTCTCACTCTCTTAGCTCCCACTGCCACCGTGATTCAAGCTGTAACACATCTATTGGAGCATCCCATTTGTTAGATTTGTGTAAAACAATGCTTCTAGCCATATCATTGCTTTTTTCAATCCCCTGCCCTGTGAAGAGTTTTACTGTTTTATATTTATCAAAAAAAAGTTGGAATATGGTATACCACAGCGTGCATATAGGGAGTCACATTGGCCCTCTTGTACCCAATCCTTTTGTCTTGTAGTGATGCGAATAGATTAACCCAACCCTTGGCTCTTGCAAAATAACTGGCCATATCTTCATTTGATGGTTCCTTGCTAACAAAAATGGAATAGAGAGCATCAAAGTTTTTGAACAGTTTTTGCAGTCTCTGACTGGATAACACCAGGAAGCTTGCTGGGTAGATCTTTTTTTGTAATTTTTTTTTGTCAGAGCCTAGAAGACTTGTAAAGTCATACTGGCCAGAACCCTTGCCATCTGCATTTGTTTTATCCCAAATTTCAAAGGAAATCCCACAGGATCTAACTGTTTTTTGAAGGTCATTTAAATGAAAATTTTTTTGGGCCACTCGTTTTTTGTCCCTGTTATCTTTCTTATCCCACCACAAAGCATCCCTGATTAAGTTTTAAATTAACACATCAATTATCCTGAGTAATAAATGAAGTTCATCTAGTATTACATGATCCATTTCTATGTTAACTAAAGGTTTGTGTTCACAACAGTATTTTTCTTTTGCATTTTGTTTCTGTGCCAGCTCATTCATTTCCTTCATGGTTCTTTTTAAATCTGAGGAGTGATAGTAATCCAAATCAAGGTCCATCTTCGAGCGGTCATTCTTATGGACCTTGCACCACACACATGCATAATATGACATGGCACCTTTCAGTCCCATCATCAGTAAAATAAATTTATAATCCCCACCCAGAAAAAACTCTAAATTGATCACCCTATCATTGACCTTAATTTTCTTTTCACTATTTAGCTTGTTGATTTCTAGGAAGACATCTCCAAAAGACTCCTGCAATGTACTATAATTTTCTTTGCCCTTGACAACAGCTATTGTGTGGTTGCCTTTGGCTGCCATCACATCATCTCCCAAGTCAGGAAGGGCAAAACTCATTAAAATAAAACTGAAATTGCGGGTCATTCTTGCCCCATCCCTTGAAATTTTAATCCGTATGGTGTCTTAATTTAATTTAATTTAATTTAATTTAATTTAATTTAATTTAGTCCATTTTCACTGCATTAATTTTGCAGTGGGGAAGGACT